GCCGCCCTATGTCTTTAAATGAAGCGAGAGGCTAGGGGAGGGGCGACAGAAGCAAGAAGTAGCCGTGACCCTCCCCCTCACCCTCCGCTCGCTCGTCTCGGCTGCTTGGATGCCCTTCATTATAGCACCCGCTTGGAGGAGATGGGAGACGTGACGCTGGTTTTCACCAGGCAGCTGCGGGACGACCTCTCCGGCTGCCAAGTCCAGCTGGAAGAAGTCGAGGAAAGGGCCATGGACCGCCTGGAAGAGACGATGGCCTGCGATGAAGAGGTATGCATCAGATACACGTGCCTGAGCGTGACGTCAAGGGTACTGTACCGTGTGTCACGCTATTGCTAGTATCTGTTTTCGCGATTCGGAAGAAGTCGCAGTTTCAACACCAATTGTATTGTTGCATGCCCAGGGCGATCAATCGCGGGGCCCTAAAATAGTATTTCGATCGATAGTCTACAGTACATTCACAGCAGCGCTTGCATGTTTTCAAGCATGCCTTGAGCGGTCGCAAAGGCATCGCCGGGAGAGGTACAGCGGTGAGTTACTACACAGTAGGGGGGTGGGGGAAAGTGATACTCGACGTCACGCCACGCTATCGACCGAACCAAAGGCAGTGGATCATGCGTTAGGAGGAAGGTACATACACGCTTGTCGAACCTGCTGGCATTGGAGTGCATGGGCAGCCCACCGTGGAAAGATAACACAGCCCGACCCCCGGAGAGCCAGTCATGACGAGAGCAACTCTGTAACCCCCCTCTACAAACCGTCGGCCCCTACCGCTGTGTCTCGTTGGTTGTTTTTGTGCGATTCTCACTTTTAACAGGCGCGCGAGACCCAAGCGGCGTTTATCGCGTGCGCCGCGGAGCTCCAGCGACTGGATTCCCAGTCGCTAGACCTCGCCCACTTCTTGGCCGACAAGGCCATGCAGGCGGGAGCACCGGTGTCCATTGCGGATGCAGTGGACGCACCCAAGCCGCCGGTGTACGGCTTGCTGAACTTCTTATTCCGCCCACGGGGTGTCAGCAATGACGCCACGGTGAAGACAGTCCCGTCGCGAGTCGGGTAAGCATTCGTGTGCGTTATCGGATGCGAGGGGAGAGTGCATGCCAGATTTTTACGGGGTCGAAGTGGTGACTGCCTTGCCGTCCTTGGGTTTGGTTTCCGTAGCTACGGCTTGTGTCTGCCAAGAGCTTTTAAGCTCGCAACACTTAACATGATGGAGAGCTACTACTGTGTGCATCATTGATGTTTCTGGTTTTGTTGTTGTTGTTCCCTGCTGCGGTTGATCCTGTTATGCCTGGCCACTCTGGCGATTGCTGTTGGTGCTGGAAGCCCTGATGCTTGCAGGCTTGCCCCGTTGCTTCCGCTGCCCCCGTCATACCTATCTAGTGCTATGGCTGGCACGACGAGGCTGTTATGCTGGGTTGAGCCTGGTGGTGATGCAGAAATAAAGCAAGTTATTATTGTTGCCAACACCGCTGCTCCGATTGACCGTTAAAGCAAAAAGGGTAGCAAGTGCTACTCTGTTGCACAACACAAAACTCACATGCGCCCAATCTGTTCCCCCCATCCGACACATGAATGCATGTTGTAGCGCCCGGTTCAACGGGGTTCGAGACATGACCGCTTCCATCATGTCCAAGTTCGACGCGGACATGGCTGCGTGCAGGGACCGGATGGCAGACGGCTGCAACGGCTGCAACGGCACGGTGAGTTGGTTCAACGGCAGGCATGTATCGTGAAGCAAGGCTTTGAACACGAAACAAGAAAGTACGAACACACCACGGGAACTAGCAAGGGTTTGAAAAGCGCTTCCGTTCCCCAGCACTTCCCCGCCCCATATTCAAATGCTTACGGCGAGCGAAATACAACATTCTACGAGTACAGTATCCCTACCTCTCCTGTGGTACTCTCACCGACTATTTCATCACGATTGGCCTGTGTGGTGTGTTTTTTTCGTTCCACAGGGGCCGGGCAAAAAAGGGCAGCAGCAGCGACGGCAGCAGCGACAGCGACAGCGACAGCGACAGCGACAACGACAGCGACAGCGATACCGGCGGCGACGGCACCATCACTGACATGGACGCCGCCGAGGACGACAAGTCCATCGGTGGCGACACCGTTGCTGAGGAAGCCGAGTCCGTCCAACCGATCGACGACGGCAACGACCTACCGAAGCTGGGGGAGCCGTAGCATGTCTTTCTTGTGGACGACGCGGTTTTTTTTCGGTACATGCCCTCGTTTCGGCGATACATGGCCGTGCCAGCAAGTTCGCCTGTTTTCAAGCGTGATGTGAGCGCTGTGCGGGCCCTTGGTGCACGTGGTGTCTCTGTCTTTGAGCTGTCTAGGCGTTTGTGGTGGTGTTGGTGTCTTGTCGGTTATGTTTGGTCGTTTTGGGTATGTAGGCGTTTTGTGGGTGTGGCAGGCAAGATGTTGTCGGGATTCAAATTTGGTTGTGTCTTGGGTGGTGTTGTTCCATTTTGGAGACAGACAGACGCGGTCGCTTGCCCTCGGTGGTTGAGCTGGTGCAGATAGTGCGATCGTTCTCCCCGCTGTGGCAGCATCGTTCTTCCACAGCAGTGTGTGTGACAAGTTTGTTTTTATTTCCGTACGGTCTTGGGGAACGAACCCTCGCGTGTGTCGGTTGTCTTGTCTTTTGTCGAACCAAGGGTGCTAAAACAATCAATTTTCTTGCACGCCTAGGCAACCATTTTCTTATTTTCGATATTGTCGGGGAGGGGGCGGGGTGCAGGTAGTCTACAGTTCCTATACAAGGCATAGGGGCCCCGCGGGGGGAACCCTGTTTTCGTTGAGGTACCCTTTGCGCGAGCTAGGATGCTCTCTTGCTAACCCGCAAGCATGAAAACTCAAAACGGGTACGACGTAGCACATCAACAGAGCACCTGATCTGCTCAACATATGTGTGAAACGTCGTAACTAGTTAGCACACACGACGTGTTCCCCACTTGCATGCATAGCTTGCGTGGAGTGGGGCTCGAAGCCCCAAGAGGGGCAAGTATTCGAAAACGTATTTTCTTCCCTCCCGGGGGGAGGTGGGGGAGGGGAGCATCTAGGTGTGCGAGATGGCATTTTGTTTTGCATTTTTACCCTTGGCCGAAGCTATTGGTGGCGTGGCTTGGTTGTAGGAGATGAGCTTGACGATGTACCTCGAACAAAGCCAAGTGACCTTATGTGTTGGTGCTCTGTCGGACTGACTTTCCGCCGAACCTGGAACCGCTCCGCATTTTTTTGCGGTGTGTTGATCCACAACTGAAGCAGTCAAAACGTCCTGACATTTGAGCTCGTATGTAAGTGTCTGTCTCTTGGGACCTTCTTGGTCATCATGTAGCGGCTCGTGTGGCCTTGGGTACACCTTTTGAAGGAGTACACGGCAGGAAAACGGGTCTGGAGGTAGGCTTGGCCTTCTGCCTTGTAGTGCGTGCTCTTGGCTGCCGTCCACCATACATGGGAGGCCTACCTACAGTAATGGGACCGTATCGGGAGTTCGTACATTCTTTATGATGTTCCACTCGAGCTCGGGAAGCAGTCCTCGTGTGTGTTTGTGCAAGGGGAAACTAAAAAGTCATGCGGCACACCTACTGTAGGTAGACCCGGCAGGGCCGAAACAGGTTTCGAATATTTGCTTTTCTTTGAGGCTTAGAGCCCGCTCCACGCAGGCCGTAAGTGGAGGAGACATCGTTTGTGCCAACTAGTTGCGGTGTTTCGAGCATATTTTGAGCAGATTAGGTGCGCTCTGTTGATGTGCTACGCCGTACCCGTTTTGTGTTGCCATGCTTGTGGGTTCGCAAGAGAGGATCCTGGTTCGCGCAAAGGGTACCTCAACGAAAACAGGGTTCCCCGCGCGGCACCCCTATGTTTTTATATAGGAACTAGACTACCGGTATCCCCACTACCCCGAAGATATCAAAACTAAAGATGATGGAAACTTAGACTATATGTGTTGCTGCAGGAACATGATATTTGTTTACCCTTGGGTGCGGGAAGTTCGCTGTCTTGTCTAGTCTTGGTGTGTTATATTTCTCGTCAAAGCTTTGTTGGTGGTGGTGTCGTTAGGTGCCGAGTGTTGGATTTGAGAATGAGGACATGTCCTCCCGCCGCCCCCTCCGTTTTCGAGATGAGCTTTGGCGATCGATCGATGTAGTCTGCGCAACGTGCGCTGCATGCGTTTGATCTATCAGCCGCGGTTACACAGGAGTTGTTGTGTTGTTGACTAGAATGTTTGGTTCTCTAGCGTGTGTGTGACTTACGAATTGATGGCTTTACACCGCAAACCGCAAGAAAAAAGATGTTTCACTCCAGCGAGAGTGAATCGAACCTCGAACTGCGTTACCACTATTTGAGGATGTCGGTCGATCAGCCAAGCACCGCGCTGATAGGCTCAACTCGGGAATGAGGGTCTAAAGTACCAACCACAGAACGTACCTCGCGCGTAGGTTGGGAGTTTCACCCACGCGCGCTTGCTTTCTTTCGCGTTTGTCCTCTACCTAGTCGCGGAAAGTAAATGTTTCTTGAGAACACACGATAGGCCGGAACGCCTGCACCCTTCTCGAGTCCTAGAGAATGGAACTGCAGAGCCGGGAGAGGCAGCGCAGAGGAAATTATGTTCCCCTGTAGTGCGACCCCGGATCAGAGAGTTCTTCACATGGAAGGAAGCGGAGTGGCAGGGCCTAGCGTTCACAATATTAATATTTGCCCCTCATTTTCACTCCTGTGTCGCCGCCTTGCCCGCTGTGTTGCCCTGTACGTGGCTATTCTACAGTATCTCATTCCTGGATCCTGTCAACTCATCTCGCTCAGATTTCATGATATTTCCACGAGCCACCACGTGTGACAAGAAATAGTCTTGTACAGCACAACTTTTGATAAGATGGATGCGCATTTACGCACTCTCCCCTCTGTCTCCGCTGTTGTTGTTGTTGTTGTTGTTGTTGTTGTTGTTGTTGTCTTGACATCAAAAACCGTTCCGATCTCTCTGCCCGGTACCATCATCTCTCCGTACTGATCAAACACTTGACCGGTCGATTCCCGTCGTCACAAGCAAACTTTCCCTTTGCTCGCGATGTTTTTGGTGCGAATCATGGAGTACACCACAGGTCTCCTACCACCAACAACGAACGAAACAGAGACTTGCGATCCAGAACAAGTCCTCCAGGTACCTTCGACCTGTGGCCCCACGTCCTCCGCCATCATATCCTGTGAGATCTGCTCCCCGTCTCAACAGACCCACCAGTCCACAACACGTCGACAAATGGTGCCAAAGTATTCCGGATCGGCAGCAACTCACACGATGCAGCCACAACAAAAATCCCAGAAATTTGCTTTCCTAACAAGCACAATAATGTTTCGATCAAATATGTATAGTACAAGGAGATACATCATTGCTGTTTCCCCCCTGTCCAAAATCTTACCGCCCTCATCCCATCACCACCACCCATCGAAGGGTGCAGCTCCATGGTGTACGCAAACATGTACCTCGTGTAAACATTATGGCAAACCACACGAAAAGACGGAATTTTACAAGATACAAATGAGAGACGCTTTCTTTTCACACTTTCACAAAAACGAATGGCCTGCGCGCGTCTTCTCGAAGAAGTGGCAGCCCTCATGGCCCACCCCGAATATGCCACTGTCGTTGACGATGGGGGAATGGTGAAACGCCAGACTTGTGACAATTATCCAATCGAAAACGGAAGGAAAAACATCTCGTCGGCTAGAAAATTCATAAATACCACCCACCACTCCCTCCTCCAACGCCACGAATAGTTGTTGTCTAACACCCGGTGCGTGCTCAGAAAATGGCTTCGTAGTCAAGGAGCCGAGCTCCCACCACCCTTGCCAAACTTCACACACCGCAGGCTGGGCTTGGCCTTGGACGAGGAGCACAGCAGTCCCCTCGTCAACCTCGTCAACCCCTCCCGCCGAGCGCTTGGGCGAAGTTGACCCCGTGATCGTCGTGCGGGAACAACTCCTTCGCCCACAGAGACCTCGAACCGACGCCCGTGTGATAGTCCGCTCGCATCCGCACGAACCCCACCAGCTCCTGGTTGCCAGATTGAAGAAAAGTTGCAATAGTCGATCATGATGATGGACCTCTGTGTTGTTCTACTAGCCCCACCTTGGAAATCGGTCACTGCTACTCATGTGTGTTGGCGATGATCGTCGTCGACGTCGTGTGTTTGCCGCTGTTGGTTGATGCCACTGTTGGAAACCTGTTTCACGCTGACATTTCCCGCGGGACCTATACGAGAACCACAATTATCTTCCTCTTCGACTCACGTGACGATTGTTATGGCATTAGCTTCCCTAGCTTCCCTACTTCCATGGGACTACATACAAAAGAGGGGCAAGTAGTGCCGTGGTGGGAGTTGAGATGACTATTGATGGAAGAGGGAAGCTACAGTAGCTCCAACACATCATAGCCGATACCGGGTCGAGGAAGGCTAGGTGGAACGGCCCTAGTCAGGACACCTCGGCAACGCAAGAAAAAGAAAGGTATCTGCTCTTGGTACCTTGCTGCTGAATGTAAGCCTTGGACCTTGTGGGGAAGTATTTACCATCCCAATGAAAATAAAGGGACCGGGATCGGTATTGTAAGAAACATCGCGCGTGTTCGTGCTGATCCCACCTATCGCATGTTATGCAATCTTTCATCCCGGACCAACGAAACACACACACCCGGTCAGGCGATGGGGGCAAAGTACGTTTGCGTCCTACAAAAGGGGCAGGAAATCTCAGTTCAGCACAAGCATGCGGTACAGAAGCAGCTGGACCAGGGAAGCGTCATGAGCAGAAGGCCTAGTGGCATCTAGCCCGCTAGAGTAGACAGCCCGAAAACAACAACAGAGGCAAAAAAAAAGGGCAACAACAGACTCAAAGAGAGATGCTGACGACGACACAGCACGTACGTACCTCCTTGCCCATTAGCCTTCCCTGCTCCATGAGCGAGAGCAGATTTTCCGGTGGCACGACGTAGAGGTTGGCTATCTCCCGCAGCTCCTCCGCCGCCGAGGTTACCCCCTCGCACCCAAACCTCCCCAAGACCTCCTGTGTGAGAGGGAGTGAGTTCACAGCAGCGTGGAGTGAGTGAGAGTGCAGAGAAAAGGAGTGAGTGAGTGAGCAAGTGAGGAAAAGCACAGCAGGGCAGTAAGCAGAGAGTGAGTGAGAGTGCATAGTGGAGGAATGAGTAAGCGAGAGAGTGAGTGAGGGCACAGCGGGGAAGTGAGTATAGAGTGAATGCGAGAGCATAGCAAACGATTAGGAAGTGTGAGTGAGAGCACAGCAGAGCAGTGAGCAGAGAGTGAGTGAGAGTGAAAAACAAAGGAATGAATAGGAAGTGAGTGAGTGCTTATCAAAATAATAGGAGATTGTGAGTGTGAACACAGCAGGGCAGTGAGCAAAGAGTGAGTGAGAGTGTATGGCAAAGGAATGAGAAGGGAGTGAGAGTGCACAGCCAAACAATATGAAGTGTGAGTGTGAGCACAGCAGGGCAGTGAGCAGAGAGTGATGGAGAGTGTATGGCAAAGGAATGAGTAGAAGTGAGTGAGGGCACAGCAAAATACTAGGAGGTGTGAGTATGAACACAGCAGGGCAGTGACGAGACATCGTGTGAGTGCTTAGCAAATGAATAGAGAGGGAAGGGAGGGAGGGAGAAAGCGGGAGAATGAGTGAGTGCGTGAGTGAGTGACAGCGCGGCAGAACGGTGAGGTGAGAGTGGGTGACCGCACAGCAGAGCAGCGAGTAGAGAGCGCACAGCAGAGCAGTGAGCAGAGAGCAAATGACCACACAGCAGAGCAGCGAAAGGGAGTGTGAATGAATAAACAGCAGGGAATGAGTAGAGAATGTATGGGCACATAGACTAGCGCATAGAAGAGCAGGAAGGAGGAAAAGCGGGTTGGTGCTTGGGATGAACGTAGTCGGCCAGACGCTACCAAGGCGGAACAGATCAAAACCAAAAACGGGTGGGAAACAGCAGCGACACACGCACTACACACATCTATTTTCCGATGGAGTGACTCGACGACAATAGTCGTAAGTCGCATTGCTCCAGCACCTCCCTCTCCCTCTGCAAGAACAGAGCACCACACACCATTCACATACTGCTGGTCGGAAAAAGAGCGACCTCGTTGGAAATTTCAAACCTAGCGGAAGCAGCCATTATCTCCATCGTCAACACGTACCGTCATCAAGCAGAGGGGAACTCCGCGATCGGAAGATGTGCAGGGGAGGCAAAGGACAAACAAAGGGTATGACACACGGCCACCAGAGCTTGCATCCCACGCTCTTTCTGGACGCTACATCAACACGTTACCGTCGCCTCCCGCCCGGCCCATCACTCAAAACAGTAAGGCCGCTCCTGTAAAACGCGCATCGCAAGCAAATACCCCGTTGGTGCCGAAGTATATCATCGAGTCCATTGATCGCCATCCGTGTCTAACGGACCACAGCAGCTCCACGTCACGACTATTGAATCACCCACGAGATAACCATTGAAGAAATCATGACGGTGTCGAAGAGAAAATATACATAAATCACACACAAACGTAACAACTTGAGCAAAATATTTCATCATTGAACAGTCATCACACCAATCTGCTGGATTTGATGAGAAGACATATGGCTAAGAACATACGACATCAGCAGTATTGTCTAGCCATGCAGCGTACAGAGGCCCGCAGCAGAAGACACTCGGCCGTTGCCTCCCTATCGTATCGTACGGTGTTTACCTGTAGGCGGTTGACGTCGTTCGCCAAGATAAAAGCACCGATCACGTTGACCTTCGTCTTCTTTAGGTGCTCCACGAACAACTCGTGAACCTGCCGAAAGGCGGAGGGTGGGGTAGGCGGAGGAAGCGACCATCGTCATCGCTAGCGAGGAGCATGTTGCCGTAACCTGCTATCCCCGCCAAAGGCCGTCACGACGAAGGGCGCGATGCGCTAGCGAGGCAGCGAACGATGTTGCATCTCTGTGAGGTGTGGGAGCATGTCGGGGTGCCGCGCTTTCTTCCTGCATGTTTCCCATACTTCTCCGGACTAGGTTCGGGTTGCTGGAGGGGGACTTCATAACACACAGGCAGGAACGTGCCTGCCAAAGGGAGGCACTCTATGAATGAAACCCGCACGTTCAAAGACAAAACTCATTCGAACAATAACCCACGAGGAGAGACCTACTGCAGCCAAGCGCCACCAAGCATCCACAGGAGTAACGAGAAATCGCGCCGCTAAGAACAGACAGGTACTAGGCTGCCAGACGGCAACGCAACATCGTGCACGCAAACCGTAGAAAAGCTACCGGGGCTTCAGGACACGGGGGAGGTTAGGAGCTTCCCCGCCCTCCGCTGTGAGTGGTACGAAGTGATTGCCCAAGTAGGGCGTGAATGACCCCTACCAAGTGCAACGTGGGGAAGACGGCGAAAATCTGTCGAGGGAAGAGAAGGGTAGGGTGGATGCGATGCGTACTGGACCCAGATATTTCGCTACAATCGGCGATCATTGAGGATGTCGACCCCTGCAAAAATCAAGCTACCAAACCGAGCTCCACCAGCGTTTCGAGTTGCCCACCTTACCCTCCACAGGCTGAAGCCACAGCCTCGGCAAAGCTAGCTACCCCTCCCAAGAGCGTTACATGTATCAACAAAGAAGAACTCACCCGGAGTCCGACGCTCTCCCAGAGCATCCGGAGGTCAACTCTTTGGTCCACCTCCTTGAGACAGTCTACGAAGACACTGTGTTGCTCCTCCAGCACGGAGGACACCGCCTGAAAGGAAACGGCAACGGTAACGGTAACGGTAACGGTAACAGTAACGGTAACGGTAACGGTGACGATAACGGTAACGGCAACGGTAACGGTAATGGTAACGATTGTCATGGAGAGGAGGCGGCAAAATATAATAGCATCAGAGATGGGAGCAAATAGAAGTGTAGGGAGACCTTTTTCCAGTCGCAGAACGTAGAAACCGGGCTCGAGCTAGTGTCGGCACCTTGTAGTACAACGCACCAGGGATAGCGCACTCATCATCGTATCTTATGTAGGCATCACTAAGGGAGTAAATAAGAACACCATGATGGTTTCGTTTTGCACATCTTCGCGGTGGTGTCCTCGTTGGGGCAACAGTAGAAAGGACTCCAACAATACAAAACTTTGGCCCGAAAAACACGGCCATCTGTAGCACACTAGGAAACGTCAACAGCGAGCAAAAGCACACAGTGCATGGGCCTGGGGTGACGCAAAAGAAAATCTGAACAGCTAAGGCACCAGCATGTGTCAACACCACCAACAACAAACCTTGACAGTCCTGGTGGCCTCGATCGCGGCGGTCTCCTCCTTGGGACAGTAGTCGCTCTTGCTAGACCTGAGAGACATCTGCTTCTCCGCGTACAGGATGAGCAGCCTCATGGCGTCCTCCAGCACTCTCACCGTCCACGCCTACGTGGTACGCACACAAGTTGCCAATGTTAATGGGATTGTTGCAGCAGCATTCTGAGCAACAGCACTCTGGGCAACAGCAAATTTAGCAACAGCAGCCGCCGCAGCAGCAACAACATCAGGAGTAGAAGCACCAAACCGGCAGCAGTGGTCGAGTGGCAGAGGTTGTGAGCATCGTGGTCGTTCTTACGACCGTGGCGGATGCCGGTGTCTTCACCACCAAGTAAAACCATGTTCACGATACGACTGCCGCTCTGACTTCTCAAACTTAACCAGAACCTCGACATACTCTCTTGCCGCTGCAAAAAAATGAATAAGACGCCGATTGTGTGGACGAGCGTGTCCAGAGGGGTCAGCAATGGCCAACAACAAACAGCCCGATTCCCGTTGAGTCGACGAAGGCGTATTGAGATGTTGGGCTCGAGAAACAGCCCAAAACAGGCAGCGTACCCAAACTCACAAAAGCATGATCGATATGCATCAGAACGAAGGGCAGGAGGTAGAGGACGGCATGATCAAATCGAAAACCAAAATGAATGACAAAAAAACTCTCCGTCGTAGAAGACAGGGTCGGTGAATGCAGACGGCATCGGGAACTGGAACGAATGAAATAAACCTCACAATCACGCCTCACAGTAGCGCACTAGCTGTGTGGCTGTCATCCCTCCAAGGCCGGCGGTGCTTGATCTCCTTGTTAACGCAGTCCTCGCCCACAACAAACACACACGCGCACCATCACGGCATTCAAACGACAGAGGAATGCATATCTACACGTCAACACCATCGACACCGACGACGAAAGCGTGTACTGCCTACTGACTACACTAAGAAATACTGTACTCACGTCCACCCTGTGCAGGAGGCTCTTCTTGGTCTCGCTGGCGATCGTGCGGAGGGTCGGCGTGTCCTCCATCCCTTTCGCCACAACCTCTCGGTGGTGCTCCTCCAGACCCGCAGCCGCCTTCGACACCGCCTTCACCGCCTCGTAGAACTCCTGCCGGGTTTTTTTCGTTGCCGGCATTTTGGTTGCGGTCCGCCTTGGGGTTGAGAGTAGGTTCGGGGAACCAACCGGCTTGGGTGCTGCTATTTAGTTGAATCGGGTGGGATTGGGATCGGCTAATTGGCTTCTCCCACAACGAAACACATGGCAGGCGAATACCACAACGTGCACCACTAAACACTATGATTAGAACACACAGAAGGGAATCGATATCACATGTACTAGGACTGATCTGTTCCATGTATCAAGCTGCGTAGTTTCAAACCATACGCCACACGCGCGTTCGTTCGTTCACCGTCCTCTCACAAGAACTTTTGTCATAACCTATGCATCTACTTTATTATTGTGCCCAGTGTTGCAACAAACACGCCGAACTGGCGGAAGTGCGCCGTCGTGGTAAACAAGAGAGGTGCATTGCATTGAAGTCGGTGTGTGTTCATTCGAACACGACAATGACCTTCGACAACAAACTGTGTTCGGGCAAGGTCGGTTGGGGCCGCTGCCTCAACCTCCCGAACTCCCAGGCATTGACCGATCGGTTGGCTGTTTCGGGGGACCCGCAGGACGAGACCCACACTGCCTCGTGTACAACCCGTACCGTACCGTAACATACCGTACCGTACCGTCAGTCATCGCTATTGTACATGAACCCGAGCGGAGGTGAACAGTCCTCAGCAAACGAAACGACCTTGAGAGAGACACTTGAATGGCAGCAACGATCGGCGCCGCTTCAGCACCATCGCCGCTAAACCACCACCAGCTCCACTCACCCTAGGCGGGAGCTGCCCCGCCCCGCCTGTCATCTCCCTGAGCGCCGCGCTGGCCGCGTTGGCCGCGGGCTTGGGCAGAAGGTTGTTGGCGCACCGCAGGGCCGGCGTGAGCAGGTGATCGGCGAGGTATCGACACACCACTTGGAAGAACTCGCATACCTGTACAGTACAGGCGTCATCGTCGTTGGGTAACGTCACGCCATGCCATCCATGCCATGCCATCATACTCTCGGTCAACAACTTTTCGATAAATCTGGGGCGAGAATGATAGGTATTGCTGGCGGACACCCCATTCTGTCGGGGACTTGTGTGTGAAACGAGGTAGGTCTTACGCTGGCAAACACGTTGGGCATCTCTGCGATATGTGATTCATTCAATTCTTGGAAGCAACGATGTAGTGTCTATGAAACTTGAAGCTGTTTAACCTTTCGCCTCTCCTTTGACGCCCCTCCGCCTCTTTCTCTCTCTCTCTCTCTCTCTCTCTCTCTCTCTCTCTCTCTCTGTCTCTCTCTCTCTCCCTCTCTCTCTCTCTCTTCTCTCTCCCCCTCGCCCTTGTGCGTATTTCTCCGTGATGTCAGAAGGCGGCCTTCTTTAACAGCAGGCATCTGAAATTTGTTTTTCCCTTGAACTCGTCAGTTTGCGATGCTTCATGGGAGCGACGTGTTTAACGACAGCAACAACGACAGTAAGCGACATTATCAACAATATCAGCGGCAACAAAAGCACTCGCCTTCTGCTCCCGCTCCTCCTCTTCCACGGTGATGGTTCAGCAGCGGCGGATGGTTTCGGAGCTGTACGAGAATACGCCTCCCCAGGCGGACGGCCGTAACGGTCCGGATAGCACCTGGAGGTAAGAGCCGATCTGAACAAGAAAACACACACACGCACACGTGCGCGATAATGTCGACAAAAAGCAGACAGGCAACCACATGCAGGCGAACGTCAGAAAGAAACAAACCGAAAGCAGGAAAAAATAGAACATGTCCTGTGAAAAAAACACCTGACATCCACCGCAGCGACGCAAAAATAAAAGAAAACACAAAACAAAACAAATTAAACCGAGACCAAAAAGCCCCAAGCCACCATTGATCCGTCAACGCATTTGGCAACGAGTAGCACCCAGAACTTCTCCACTCCCGCCCTCTCTCCCATCAATGCAGATTTCATCAACAACGACTGGAGCCAGGAACGTCTTCTCGAGCCCTACAAGTATGAATCTCTTCCGAAGATCCCCTACCCCACCCCCTCCCAAAGGACCTTATAACTCCGTGAACTTGTCGACACCGGGAAACACGAAATACATCACCCCTCCCTCAGACCAATCATCCCTCATGGCCAGGTTTTGGTGAACGGCATGGGAATGCCACCAGCATCAGGTAGCCCCCCCCCCCGCCCCCCCCCGAAAATACTCGATGATATAGCGCCCCCTCCCCGCCCCTGACCTTGTCATCTCGAACGGCAGGAAACAGCTCCAGCCCCACGGCAACCGCCTGGCCCGCCGCAGCGCGGTAGTGCAGCATCCCCTCCCACACCGTCTCCGAGGTGCCCAGCAAGCTCTCCAGGAGGTGTCGTCTCTCCTTAACGGCGTAGCTCACGCGGTGATCGAAGAACATGTGCTTAGCCTGGCCCGATTTTGTATTTTCGTTCAGACAGGATAGGATAGGACAAGATGTAAGTACTAGCTGTACACATGAACGAAAACGGAAAACAAAACAGAGACAAAGGTCTAACAAAAGATAGTACAGCAGAAATTGAAGACCCGCCGGTTATTTCAACTTTTGCTAGGGTTCTTTTTCCCAGGCCAAGGCTGCAGTTTTCCGGTCAACGAGGCGAGAACAGCACCAACAGCATCTACATCACCCGCAACTCGACCCACGACCATCGACTGCCAACCAGGGGCACCATGGGCTGCCAACCAGGGGGCAAGAGAAGAAGACACTGTAAGAAAACGGAAAGGTAAAAAGGTACCATAGCTCGAAAGTGATGTCATACTGTAATCATTCCTTCATGTCCCATCCAAGTTTAGTGAAAAAGTTTGAACAAAAAAACACCAACAACCCGACTCTCAAACCCACCTGTTCGACCAAATAAGCGCGCAGCGCGGCCATCTGGCGAGATGTCTCCCCATCCCCTTCCCCTTCCCCTCCCGGACCCGCGGAGCCCCCACCCCCGCGGTCTTCCTCTCCTCTTGCCGTTCTTACGACAGCGTCTGAACCTTGGCTGTCCTCGTCGGAGTCGCTACAGGTGTCGTTGTCGGTGTCGGTGCCGTCGTCGTCTGGGTCGGCCGCACCGCCTGCGCGGATGAAGTCGTGCTCCTGAATTCCAGCAACAAGAATTGAAACAACAAAAAACTACTGCAGTTAGCACCTCGTCGAAGCTATTACACATCAACGCGAGAGAAGTAATGGATCACCATGGCACCTCTCTGCCTCTGTCTCTGTCTGTCTGTCTGTCTCTCTCTCTCTCTTGGCCTTCTTCTCTCTTAGAACGCTTAACACGCAGGAGTCGCTTTCGAAGCGGCGGGTGAATGCCCGCCGGAAAAGAAACAAAACCGTTTTCTTCCTCTGGTGGAAAAAACGCAGAGCCTGTCCTGGTGCTGCTGCTACGGCTGCGGTTGCTTTGACACGGCCTACGCGCACATGCATACATACATATATACATACATACAACACACAACATAAATGAGTACCTGCGTGACGACGAAGAAGACGAAGCGGCTCTGCAGGTGATCTCCCTCGTTGAGCGCAAACAGTATGTCGGAGCACTCCCTCATCAAAGCCACCTCAGGTGGAGACCTTCCCGCGGTGCGCTCGAACAGGTCCAGCAGCTCCTGCTCCAAGAAGTCGCTGTAGGCCTGTGGTGTTGTTAGGACGGGGGTGTGCGAGCTGGTTCCTGTGACGTCACGATTCCGATCTCCACCGCAACGAAGCAGAGACGAGCAGTGGCCGCCACATCGGCAGAGCAAGAGTACCGCCGAAACAATCAACAGCAATAACAACATCATCAACAATAACAACAACAACAACAACAACAACAACAACAACAACAACAACAGCAACAACGACGGCAGCGACATAGACCTGCAACTTTTTCGCCGCCTCGTCGAGCTCCTTGGACTCCAGCTCGTGCGTGATGCTCTTCAGCTTGGCCAATACCTGCAGCGGGGAAAGACAAATACACCAACAACCAACAACCACGGGCAAAGGACAGAAACTAAGAGGAACAGCACGTCCATATCATCATCATGAGCCCCACAAAAAGGCGCGTACCGTAAATTTCACGGCCCCATTGTTGGCCTGGCGGAGAGTAGACCACGGAACCACACTACTACGACTCCGCTCATCGAAATGTTTCACGCCCACGCCCTAGGGAAGTACAGCCTGATGTGGTCGTGGTTCTGCCAGATACAACTAGAAATTTGTGACCACCATATTAATTACTCTTCGGTCGTCCATGAAACAGCCCACGGCCAGGGCCGACGGGGTTGTCCAAAAACCAAAATGACAAAAATATTGATACTGCAACTTATATCCCACCACCAAAGGCCTCAATCTCTCGCACAAACCGACAAGGCACATCCCTCAAAATGACCACAGATAGCGTACTCATCTCTTGGACGTCGACCTTTGTCCAAGACACTATCGGAGAGGAACTAATTTTTTCATATCCTCGTGAGTGCTTTCACGCGGGAATAAATCTTCCCCACAACTCGACTGACAACAACAACCAGGTTTTTCCCTCTGTTTGGCCTCCCCGTTCCCCCGTCCCCTACTCCCGCCGACTGCAGCCGCCGTCCAGGCGATACGAAACCCTTACATGCTCAACCCTGGCTTCGAAGAGACGCGGAGCATAGTCTACTGGCAGCGACGCCCGCATGCAGTCCAGATACACGAGGGTTACTCATTGTTTCCCGCGAAGCCCTCAAAGATGCGGCGGGAGCAAAGCAAACCACTTCTTACCGTCGCGGCTTCTGCTGTTCTGTCTTCGTCGCAGAACACTGGGGGCAAGTGCTTCATTTACCGCACCACGGTGTCCTGATCCTCGGAAAATCCCTCCGGAAGGCCCTCGAAAACCTGCAATGCCGGAGTACTTCTCGTCGTTTCTCTCTGTTGCTGGAGTTTCGTCGCCGAACTATTGTCATTGTTACTCTCATCTCTACCCACCGCCCCTATCGTCTATGGCCATCGGCTAGCCCAAGCGAATGGTACAAACCGAGCGTGCAACTTTACACTCACAGGAAAGCCATCCAACCGATTCACAGTCACGGCCTCTCCCGCATAGTACAGCGAAAACTGTACACCGCTGAGCGTTAACCTCTTTGCACCTCCCTCGCTCGCGCTCATGCTGTAGTATCTGTGATCATCTCTGCCCTTGTCGCCCTCTATCTCTATCTCTGTCTCTTTCGCCATCTCGTCCTCTCAAGCTGTCTCTCTGTGCTCACGTCCCCGGGAATAGGTGCGCTTCAGCAGCCGCAGGAAACATTATTTCGGACCAAACCGCACCTTCAAGAACTCTAGGAGATCCATAGCCTCCGCCGCCCTCGCCCGCTGCCCCTCCATCTTCGACAGCCGGTCGCCGATGCGAACGGCCTTGTGGACCGTCCATTGAAACCTGTGCTCCACCCCTTCCAAAGAATCTTGTACCTGCACGTTGGAGACCGAAATTTGGAAATCGATGCACTAGTGTGGTACAGACAGACGATAATCTTTTTATGCTTTCTGGTAACGGTATGAAAATGACTGAGGCCATGGCACCGACAGCTATAACGATATATGGATGAGGTATGGTGGCGGGAAGTCAAAGTGACCTCAACAAATAGTACTTGTGACTATGGATGGCTGGGCCAGCATAGACGAAAGGGGCAGTTACGCTTCACAAGAAACCCCTCCGCAATTGCACACAACTGGATTCATTTTCGCTTCTCTGAAGCGGGAGGGGGCTTCAGTTGGGTGTGAAAGCATCACTTCCGTTCCCAAGGAGGAAAACCCAAAAATGTATTATCCCATCATGATCAAAATGAGATCTATTCCATCTGGAGCGATTTCTTCGCCTACAAGTTGCAAGGCGGGGTGTCATATACTCAAGGGGTACAGGAATCTCTTGCGGGCAGGAGGGGCCGTAAACACGTTAAACTACGATGAAAAATGACACACAACCACACCCCAGGACATACGACGGACCTCGTTCAGTCTGGTGGCGTGCGATGCCAATCCCTGTCGGTAGTCCTCCTCGATTGCCCCTGTCTCCCCCGCCATCGCGAGTCTCTTCCTCTCCCCCTCAACCCCCATCTCCTAAACAATCGTAAACAGACGAAACAATGGTTGGTGCAGAGGCTTTCGTGGAACATGCGGACGGGCCAAACGAGCTGACATCAAAGAGAGCAGCAGAACGCGCTAGGCGTTCGTCGCCAGTAGAACAAAATGGCGAAAGGAGCAGGTGGAAACGCAGTCGCGTCCGTTTGGCACGAAAAGACCGGTCTCGAGCCCTAGCAACACACGAGCGTGTACAACGCGAACTGCACAATCTCCCACCACCTAAGGTTGAAGAACGAAACGAGGGGGGACAAGACTGCACGAAAGTGAAGAGGAGTGTCACCTGTAACAGGTTGCCGTTGGTGGTGAAGAGCTTCTTGAGGGCGTGCGGGTCCAAAGCTACGATACCGTCGCCGGAGTCCCCGATGTACGGAGCGGTCAAGATTTCCACCAGCTTGGCGCGGTCAAACATGTCGGGGTGGGGTCGCTCTCCTGTGAAAAAGATGGTTGGTTCCGGCGATGAAAGGGCGGCACGACACACAGTGATGACGGAAGCAGCAGCAGTTTACACACCACAACAGTTATGATGACGAAGACGACGACGAACACAACAACAGAAAAAATAACGTGACACGCGCATGCGCGCAGATTTTTGCGCACGAGGGGGGGAGCAAGGCGTTGGTCTGGCTGGCAACCGACACATCTTCCCCATTATTGCTCTCTGGATCCTTCGTTTCCTCCACACACAAGTTTGGAATCCAGCAGCAGGAGCTGCAGTAGCAGCAACAGCAGCACCAGCAGCACCAGCACCAGCAGGATTGCTTTTCCATATTCGGCCGCTCGGACGGAGAATAAACGTCTTCCCAACACGCGTCGTTGAGATTCCTTGCTATCACAGTGGCTTTCGACAGCAGCAGTTTGCTGGGTGTTCCTACGCATGTATACACGTATACGCACGTCAGTCATAGAGGCGAAGGCACTGTCGAGCACGAGGTGCTTCGCCTTCCGGTCTAGACCGTAGTTATCGCCCTCCCAGGGCCACACGACACGACACGACACGAAGCGAGAGAGCAGCACAACAGCAACGCGAGAACGGCGGGATGGATGCTTACTGCCACCAAGCAAACCTACGTCGAAAGGTTGAGAGAGAGAAAAAAATCAAGAGAGAAGAGAGAGAGACAGACAGAGAGACAGACAGAAGTTAATACCCTGGCAATGCATTCGCACATGCGTGAAGCACGATGCAGGTAGCGTTCAGGCTACTTGTACATGTCACGCAGGAGTACACCTGTAGCTTACATGCTGTGACCGGACGAAAGAACGTGGAACTAAATACCAAAACTGGATCGGCCAGGCTGAATCTTAAACACCAAGTACGGCAATGCGGCTGTCCTCGTTTTCCCGCACTTACCGGCATCGGGACAATCTACAACAACAGCTTCACCGAAAGATGCGTTGTATTTTGTCGCACCGTCTCGGTCGGTCGGCGCGAAATACGTTTGTGTGGCGTCGCCGTCAGAGGGTGGCTTGGTCGGGATACAGCAGTACCCTGAACGTGTTCGTGCGGACGCCGCCGGTGGTACCCGTGTGCCTTCCCCACCCCCAAGAAACAAACACTCGCTCCCCGTTTCTTGTTAGGCGCCTCTCCAAGAGAATGGGTGGTCTCCTTCTTCGTGGTCTAATCGCTCTCTCGTTGTGATCCGTTCAGCTTGTGCTCAGGTTCTGATGCGCCAAAAGTTTGTTGGAAGCGACAGGTGAAGTATTGCGTGCTTTGGGGTGTGGTAAGAGGCTCCGAGGCTGCGCATTGGGGGTTGCCGCATGACTACAACCGCAGCACTTCGTGAGGACGGCAATAGTGAAGGCTAAACGTCACATATCACTTTGAAATTCGCGCACAAGTGCGACCTACCCAGCGGCCAAGCAACTCTCAACCGAGTGCACAGGGACCCCAAGGCCAACCTACACCTATCTGTGAATTTACCGAGGAGTGGAGCGGGTCGCGTGTTGACTTGTTGTCGTGGAGCATACACACAGCCGTGTTTAACAATGTACATCCCACCATCCCGCATTCCGCTGTGTACATGGGAGGCAGCTGCTTCGTGGTCTCCAACAATGCGAGAGAACCGTCGTAGAACAATATACTATATATATTATACACCAAGGTTGATACCTGATGGGATTCCAACCGAAGAGCGTGCGTGTATGCAGATATCCAACATGCACGAGAGTTGGTCTTTTGGGCACCGTTGCACACGGCAGCACCCGCTCGCAGGAAGAACATCCGACGTTCTGGGACCTGCATCATCGTCTCTCTGACTCGCCGCCTTTGTTTTACTTGGCGGTAACAAATGTTATTCGGAGGCCGCCTCGGTGGGAGAGGGTCGACTGTCGGCTGGTCGAGGGAAGTGTTCAACAACCGTTGGTGGAGACATCCATGCTTCGCCCCTTGATTCCCCTTCCATCCGTAGGTGGCAGATGAGGGGAGGAAGCCGAGCTCCCGGCGCAAAAGCAGGCCAAGCAGACCATCGTTCGCAGTGGCATGCAAGGCTCACCTTGTCTGTCGCAGAAAAATCAACTATCTCGGCTTCCATTCTTTGTCTGGAATTGTACAGTGGAAAGCGCTACAGCACACCAGTAGCTACAGTAGTTCGTACGTACACTTTGAGGGCGTCAAAAATCGCACGCAAGCGCCGCAGGAAGGGTGGGTAGGGTGCCTCAGGGGGAGGGACCCTTCTGTGTGACCAGGAACTTGGAGCTCCTATACATATTCCCGGCAGAAATGCTGTGAGCGCAAACTTCAAGTGGCAAAAAAAAAACAGCAGCGGATGACATCATGACATCGAGACTACTTCCAAGATGGAACGGTTTCGCAACGATCAAGGCGTCCGGGATTTCGAACGTAGTGGAGGTTTCGCAAAGACATCATTTAGGCGACACGACAGCACCGGCTGAAAACTTGAGCACGACATGCCATTCACCATCAGAAGGCCAAACACCGCCCTCCCTGCCGTCTCGATTGTTCCTCCCGAGACCTAGACTACTGCTGCTACTGCTGCACCTTGTCCCTCGCTGCCGCTGTTGTCGCCACGTAGCATATACTCCTGAACGATGTGATCGAAACAGGGACCTCACTCTACTGCAATTCGACACTCCCGGATGTTTGAACAGAACTGCGACTCACCAAGAAAGGGAGAAAACCATGCATACCATTGGGAGGATCCCGAATACTTCGGTTTGCCGGAGCGCAGCAATAGAGCGAGCGTGCGCGAGAGGCGGCTGCTTCGTTTGGGTGGTGATGACGGCCTCATGCGCTTGCGGAACCACCAATGCCACACCAACCAAACGGCGTGAGGGCAAACCTTCCCTATTGCGGCCGCTATTTCTCTCCTGGTGAGTTGCTCTGGCAAGCTTCCGTCCCTTGCTGAAGGGGCATGCTGAAGGGGCAGAGGGAAGAGGGAAAGGGGAAAGACAAGACAAGAGAGCGGTCCCATGCAACACGCCTTCTCCCGTTTCTTGGGTGCTGGTGGACTGGAATGTTGATCTCGGCCAATCAGCGCCTGTTTATCCACGCTCGTCAGGCGGATCCGGTGCCTACGTGCCTACAGCATTGCTGGTGCCAAGTTTGTTGCGCCAGAGGTTGTGGTCCTTTCAACACCGTATTGTTCCTATCCTCTTGCGAGCGTCTGAGGGTCCGTGTAAACTCAAAGGCCCGGGCCAACGCATCGATTTCTGGGCTTGAACTGAACTCACCAAGCCTCTTTTGGTGACTGGTTGGACTGTAGTTTTTATACCTCCAGCCAGCCGAGGTGTACATAGTAGAACAACCCAGCAGCCGTGTCCCGTTTCACGGTGACACCATGGTGGCCGAAATGGTGAGTTCAATCTCGCGAGCAACCAAAACATGGTGCGGGACTATGAGTACAGGTTGTCGAGCTTTAACTTGTTGCACTCCCGGCAACATCGCGGACGATGCCCGGCAGAAAAAACACGCACATCGACTGACTGTTGAAGACGCGTGTGCCGTAGTCTACCGACTCAACGCCAGCCGGTGGTTTGTTCCCGGTCTGGCACGCGAGAAATAGGATTCAGAAAAAAGGGAGATAGACTATATAGTCTATCCACGAGAGAACCTGAACCTGAGGTACTGTAGTATCGCAACACCCGTAAGCGTGTCGCAAGATACCTACCGTAGCACATGACTACAGTACCAAAACGTCAAACAAAAACACCGCCGCCGGCAACAACCAGCACAACAGCAAGAGCTCAGTTTTCCCCATGCAACCCATTGCTCGCGACACAGCGGAGGCTAGACTACTACAGCAGTAGCACATCCACGCAACCGATGCATGCTCGGAAGAGGGAGAGGTCATTGATGTCTGAGTGTATTGGTCTTGACCTCTCCGGCAACACTCGCTTTCGGTCATTGTGATTGTCACGCTGACCTATAGAGTCACTTCGTGGAGTGGGGGAGACCGTTTCATTTTGCTGTCTGCCCGTCAGCGCCGTCTGTTCTATCCAAAAGGAGCCAACAAGAGGTTGAAATGGACCGGAGAGGGAACCAACCTTCTCCTGCCAAGAGATCACAGTCGCCTTACTTCGCGTGGATCGCCAACAACCGGTACAAGCAGAAATCTCGCTCTACGTCTATCGATAACTGCCTGTACGTTGCTGGCGTTCTAACATACTTGTGGGAATGACATGATCATTATCCTACGTGTGAAGCGGGCCCACTATTTAGGCTTCGGCTTCATTCGGTTTACACCGTTTTACCACACACATCTGTTGTTGCGGATTTACAACGGGTACCCCATTAAGAGAGACAGCGATCGCGCCATGCGAAGGGTGGGTTGCACATAAATATACAAGCGTTTGGGAAGTGGTCGAGAGGCAAAATGTGAGTATACTCGAGGGCACGCATGACGAACACGTGTGTGTATGTCATGACTGCATGTGTTTCGGCGTGTTTCGGCGTGTAGGCTGCCTGCTGCTTCTCGCCCATCTCCACCCCATCTACTCTCGCCCCCGCCGTTCCCATCCGTCAACGGTGTTCGATCTGGCCGACCAGGCTATCCTACAGTTGATGCGCCTGAACTTTTCGAGAACCTAGACTTCATCACTCCAGGGAGGCCCTTTTTGTCTACCTGTTGCCTCGAGCGTGATTTCAGTGTAGGCTATCTCCGGGAGGCCGCCGACAGGCGAGCGAATCAACGACAAGGACACGTATGTGAATTATATGTATACGCTGTGTGCCCTGCCATCCTCGCTGTCTGTGTACGCTCTCTTGCGCGGCGGGGCTGAAGAAGCCACCGTTCACACTGCTTACCCGTAACATTTTGTACACTGATGGAAGTGTGGCGCAATCTGCAACATCGTCGAGAGGGTTGATTGAGAAATTGCAGTCGCGTTCTTGCATCGCCAGGATTACCGCACAGCAAGCAAGTTTGATACGCGTTTTGATTGTTACCTGTTGATGTTCTTCCTCCTGGTGTTGTCTGGCATGTTGGCGTTTCGGAGAGGCCCTTCGTCTGCCTGGCTGCTGCGAGAAATGCGGCCTTTTCGACAACGCCACCTTTTCCTGCGAAACCTTCTTCGAGGGTCGCCCTTCTGCTCAGGTTTGTTTCCAGCGACCTTGACGCCCGGCTGTTCTTGGCCTCCAGGAACACCTCGACTGCGTTCCATAGTACCTTGCTGGATGAGGTCACATCAAACACTGTTCCACAGACGGCCCCATCTCTTCGACCTCCCCATGGTGATTGAGCTGTGCACCCCTCCCCGTTGACGGCCAACCACATGCCATCCACGAACGTTGGACGGGTATTGGACGAGAGCGAAGAGCGCAAGAACAACGGGCAGTCATTAGTCTAGGACAGGATAGGGGTAGCCAATCCGTCACGTTCAGACCACGTGAGCCTCGGCTCAGCATCACCAATGCAGGAGACGAAGGAGACTGGAGCCCGATCTAAGTTTGTTCTTAGTTCTCCAGACGCTTCGTAGTACATGCGCAATGTCCTCTGTTGCGCATGTATGATCTATAGATATTTCGCCAGCCGTCGGTGGTGTGCTTCGGAAGAACCAAGGCTGTACCCGGTACCTGGTGGTAGACGGAATGGCAATATGGTGTTTTGCCGCCTCGTCTGGCTTTTTTCCGGATAGCGCCAGAAGAAGGAAATGCCAACAATTGGTTTCTCTTGTTTTTCTGTTTACCAGTTCATAAATATTTTCTTACGGACGGCGTTACCACTTACTACCTGTTCGAGGTACCTCTATTTTGCCCGAGGCTCGCTTCTTGTTTCCTTTGTGGAGTATCTCAACATGACTACAAGGGTTTTGAGTAGGCTCCTTTACTGAGAACCTGTTCTTCTAGTTGCAGCTGTTACAGACTCCTTTTGTTTTTGGCTGGATGTCGTAACTCTCAGATATCGAGTGGTGGCGCGTTCTGCATCTTGGTGGAATCATCACGATACTCGGGGTCCTTCGTTTGTGTAGGTATCACGGCAAACTTGGCGTTTGGCGGTCTACGGTAGAATCTTGTGCTCTACCGCTAACCGCCAGAAACCTTTTGCAGACGGCGTTTTTGGCGTTCATGGTTGGATAATTTACCGCATCATTACATTTTCGCCCCATTCTTCTACCGGGGGTAACCGTGGTAATGCTAAACCCTCCGTCTTTAACCCGTGCGGCGCGTTTGCTAGACAGGAAGACAAGCGACTATTGGAGCGGGTGATCCTCATGAAATGTTTGGGCGGGGAGAACGTCGGCAATTTATTGCAGCACTGTCTCAAGTCGGAAGAGTGTCTTATGACGTATGGAGCTCTGCAAAGCCCTACAACGCTCGAATACCAGTGGAATGTCATAGTTGACTAGCAAGGCAAACGTTGCACGGGGGTACAGCACGACAGGCAAGAGAATGCCGTGGTACTCGAGGATATTCTATTGGGGCAAGTTCATTACGTCGTGGCGGAAGGGCCTAAAGAGGCAGTAGACTACGGGCGGTACACCTACAGCGTGTGGAGCCGCGGGCGAATTTTGAGGAACAATCTGTGAAGGGCGATGAGAGAGAGAGAGTACGAATGTGAAAAGCGTAACCTAAGGAGCCTATTTTCTGCGTTTGTTTCGTGTTGTTGGTTTATTGGTTGCGTCACTCTGTCATTGCGCCCAGACTTGTCGGTGAACAACAGGCTAGACCTGATGGCTCGTCTCGCCGTACCCGTACTTACTTCATGTGTTTTCTGCGCGTATCCGGTATCTTCTCAGCAGGTGCTATTCAGTCCACCGACAGGTAGCATCCCGGGGTCCGTCCGTGCTAGCCGGCTAACACCCCTCACACTTCTGGGTGTACGGGGAGGTCATTGGTCGCCAACCATCCCGAGGAAGACATAGCAAGCAGTGTAGGGTCGCATGGGGATATTGCTGTGTAGGATAGAAGGACCGCCTTGCTGCTGAAAGTTACATACCAAGCTTCAGCATAGCTCAAAGACTACAGTAGTAGTGTTCCAGGAGCCCGGCGCCGCCGAGTCGAACATTTGTCTGACTCGCTAAACGGATACAACAATCACTTCGCGAAGAGGCCCAAGGACAATCCTCACTGAAAAATGGTACAACGGCAAGCAGCGATTTACGATAGATTTGGCTGCGCCCGATGGCGTTTTGCAAACTTTCGGTGAGCAATCGAGTGCAGAGTAAATTTGGGAAGTCCTCGGAAATGAGTGTGTTTTCGATGCACGACCTATCCGACACTACTATTCTACTCTCTGAGGGAAGTACATGGCACATCCTTTCCCGCACATCCGCGTCTGGAAGGAATGTTGTGCACATGCATGTAGTGTCCGTGGGTTTCGGAGCAGTGACGCTCAATGTGTGCGGGAGTCCGTGCCTTGATCTCGTTCGAAATAATCGTTCAAATAATTGTAGTGACGTGATAGTTTCAATTACTACAGTTGCAGCACATCTTCTACCCCAGGGGTGCTCCGTCTCAAGATGTAATGTAGTGGCAGCCCTTCTTGCATTACTGCTGTACACCTGTATCCGCCATCTACTGTAGTCCATAAATATTTGCAGTCGGGTGCGGACTCTCTCTGTCTCTCTCTCTCTCTCTCTCTCTCTCTTTCTCTCTCTCTCTCTCTCTCTCCCCCCTATCTCTCTCTCTCTCCCCTGTGCGTTTGATTGGACAAGAAGAAGATTGAAAGAGATCTTGAGGGGATGGATTGATGGATACTCCCAGCATGTAGCGTTTCTTGGAACTCCCCAGGTCGGCGGCGAGCAACCGCCATAGCTCCTCATCAGGTTCTTCTCTAATCGATTCGATCGAGAGGACATCGGGAATCGCTGTGCTAGCGGGCTTCGAGCGAGCAGGTAGTATTGGAGCTACGGTTCCAGTGCTGAGGCGAGGGAGCTGCCACCAGACGACGCTCTGGGCCTCGATCCTGAGTGCGGTTGGATCGCGGATCCCCAAGAACACCGGATTGTTGTGTGCGCACCGAACAGGCGGCCACATACATACTTCAGATTTTATCAGAGGTGAGAGCGAGCATGAGAGACAGGAGAGAAGCAGCAGCAGCAGTACTCGCCCCGACAGCAAAAGCCGCGCAAGGTGCGGGGCCTACCCGCGGTCGGTGCTGATTGGTTCAAGGAGGGTGTGCGTGAGCTTGCAAGGATGCCATGTCATGTTGCGGATATTGACAACATCTAGACCCTGCTGCTGCTGTCCGTAGTCGTTTTTTGCTCCTTGTGTGGCAGCCAGCAACTGGATCGGCATCGGCAACCAAACCCTGCTCTTCAACGTGGAGGCTTTGCAGCACCTCGCAATAATAGTCTATGCCCCCGCGCAATAGAACGAGAGTAGGATACACAGACAGTTCCCTGGCCAAAGCCGCACCACAGGCAGACAATACAGCTCATGCCCCCCACTCCAACGGGCATCCCACATTCCCACATCCTTTTTCACGCGGAGGAACAGACGAAAAAAGAAAGTCCGAAACAAAAATCTTCGGAGAAGAGACAGCAGTGGAACAACAAAAGTTGGGACCAGCAACGACGAGGGATCCACGCGTCCCCAATCCCCCTCTCCCCTCGGGTAGCATTCGCCTTGCGCACAGCAGCCCCGCTGTAGAATGGGTCTCCGCCTGCGGGCACAGACGACCCGGCTTTGTTTTCCGAGTCAGAAGGGTCAAATCGACCCGTTGATTTTACAACCCGTTGACACAAGGCGTTGCTTGCCGTCGGTCATCATCATGTGCGCGCAGCATCGGCGCTCAGCAGCGGGAAGCCATGGGGGCACTGTACGCGGCCCTTCTCCTCCTCCTCCTCTTGACCGGGGCATGCGGGAAGAAGGTGGACACACCACAGCAAGAAGCGTGTTGCGCGGCGCTCTTATTGGAGGGTCCCGTAGGGTCCAAGGGTCACGACGGGAAGTACCAGCTACCCGTTGCGTGGTGAGTGTTGACCTTGTTCCAAGTCATTCATTCGTGAAATGAACGGACGGTCAACCAATGTATTTTTCGTGCGCATTGCATTGCAAACATTCATTCCTTCGTTGATAGAACAGAGCAGAAAAATAAAACTTACACAGCATCAGCAGCAGCAGCAAACTTCCTTCGGAGTGGGATTGTCAGCACCAACATCGTTGGTTACGAAGTGCCCTCTCCTTGTTGTGTCCTGTGGGTGTCCCGCCCATGTGTTACGTTTACAGCCGTGACCTGGTCGGATGCCCAAGCCTTGGGTTCAGTCCCCAAGCATCAGAACACATCGACATCGACCCGGCGAGCGAGACCCTCCGCCAGCAGTCCGCCCTGCGCGAGGACCCCTCGTGTACGCGCGCCGAGTGGGAGGGCAGGTGCCCGCCCTCCTCCACCATGCTCCTGGCGAGCAGGATGGCGGGATCCTGCATCGCTGAGGGATGTGTCCACCGCGAGACCCAGTCGATGGTGAGAGCGGCGTCTCAAAGTACCTACCGATACGACACGCATGTGAAATTTTTGTGCATGCATGGTCTAAAGAGCAGGTGCGATCGATTATTTACCTCGTTGTTACAGGTGTGTGAATTGTTTCTTCGTTCCTGACGTTTTGTTCACAGCAGCAGCCAGTACATGTCGTGTACCATACATAGACAGACTACAGCGGCATGTATGTAGACCCCAAGACCCCTAAGCAAACAACAGCCTCATTGGCCACCACGGCCCGCTCGGTCTGTTATCGCCACCCTTCCTCTCTCTCTCTCTTTCTCTCTCTCTCTCTTTAATCCGTTGGCTGCTTGCTGTGTTTGAAGGAAGAATGACAGTTAACAAACAGTGTGAAGAACTGACTCCTCGCTGCTACCGTGTCTTATAAAATACCAAGACGGGTACATCCTAATCGTCCGTCCGTCCGTCCGTTCAGCAGCGTACCGCTGTGTGTGAATACCACAACAGCAGCGTACCGCGTGACGTTGTGTTTGAAGATTTCCCACATCTTCTTTTCTGCTGCTGCTGCTGCTGCTGCTGCTACTCACTGCTCGTTGCTGTGGGATGCCCGTTGAAATTCAGGCGGGGGAGGATGAGGATGAGCTTCTGAGGGTCATTACCTCAGAGGTAACCCAGAGGCTGCAGGCCGAGAAGCGTAACATGACGAAGTCGTTTTACGCGCACGTCCGGGGACTTCGGCGTTCCTTCGGCAAGGTGAGCGGAAAAACAATTGTATGTAGATGGAGAGGGCGAAATGAAAGATTTCTTCATTTGTTTTTGCATGATGTGAGCGGAGGAAATGGATCGGAGACAACGACCGTGTTCGTTGTTGAAATACACTGCTGTATAATGAGCATATTTGTGCCGCAATGTGAGCTATCCCGACTGCAGCTAGATCGCCATCTCTCGAGGGCAGGCTTGTGTGTCTATCATCACCTCCTTCCTATCTCTCACCCTTTGGACTGTGTGTGCAATTGTTCTTGTGTTCTGGCTACCGAATATCAAGGAGTTTCTGCTGCTGCTGTGGTGAGCTGGCCCATCGGATAGATTGGATTTTTTTTCTGGAGCGGAAAAATATCACGAGTGAAGGTCACTATATATTTTTGTTGGTGAATTGCTCAACGAAACCTATATACGACACACCGGGGCCGCAGGAGTATCCATATCTGTCCGCACTCACTGTACAGTATGTCAACGGACGCATTCTGACACGTCAGACAGCAGCTGCATGCCCTGAACTTGTACCATGCCTACCATTGTGTTATTGTGCAGACAGGCAGCATTCTTGATAGCAGTACGCTGTAGTCGACAAACAAACGTCAATTTTGGTGAAGTGTGGGACAGGAGGGTGATGCTGCTGTAGTCTAGTCGATGTACATGTAGTGTGTGGACGAGTAGTTCAGTTTTTGGCACGCAACGTGCTGCAGGGATTGTAGGTGTACCTCTTCGGGATCGTGTACCGTTTTCTTGCTGTTTTTCGTGTTCTTTAGATCTTCTGATGGCTTTCGAATTTTGTGACCACGGGCCGAGTCTTTGCTAGATTTATTTTGGGATTAGCACCGTGTATGACAACAACAATCCCAACAACAACAACTCACTCGTCCAAACAAAGTTGTCTGTAGATTGGGGCAGAGGAGACTGTTACTGTACCTACAATATGTAGATAGATTCCATGCAGCATCAAGCAAACAAAAGAACGATGGAACGAGTATTCTTCCACAGCCAAGGTGCAATCCTATTAGAGTACTGCAGTATCCATCTATCCATCCACACGGACGGGCAATGATACAACATGGTGTGGCTGAAATACTGACTGGCTGCCTTGTATTACTGCCGAAGAGAAGCTTACAATAGTCTAGACGACAAGATTTACCCCGCCCCGCCGCCTCGTTCGCAATTTGAAATTTTGAAATTTTAAATGTTGTTCGTTCGTTGTCCAGGCCCAAAAGCGGTGGTCGCGCGAGGTGACGCAGGCCATGAAGGCCACGAAAGAAATTGACATGAAGCTTCTTCGCTCCCTCACGGAGGTAGCGATGATGAAGGGCTTCCGCGGCGGGAAGCTGGAGGAGGTCATCGCGGCGGTAGAGAAGTACGACAGCCAGCAGGCGGGCGTTGCTTTGATGAGGTGAGAGGGAGGTGTGTCATATTGATATTTACTGTACCTGTCTAAAAGGAAGCGATCCTAGATCCCAACCCTTCCTTCTGTTTGGTCACTCCTCCGACCATCAAAGTCCACGATTGATTATAAAATCGTGCCGTTTTCCAAGGCCGGACGGGGGGGCCCACAGTATATCCCCCCCCCCGCCATCGGGGTCAAGGTCGGGAGCAATAGCTACATAGCTCGGTGGGAGTCATACACAATGAGTCTCTGTGTTCGGTGCCATGTACAGTAGATAGAGCATGCACGCGTGACTGAGGAGCTGTACTGTTGCTGCTGTGAGCACTAGACTACTACATGATTAAATTACCCGTATCTCCGGGTTGAACCGGGTTGCACGTTCTTTCGGCCGTCTGTCCATCATATCCATCATGGCCGAGGCTCCGTCGATCGGCCTGTTTCCTACATCACGATGCGCATTCCTACTTAACCACCACCGTGTCTGAAGGACACTCATAGTATTCTTCAATCCGTCGTCTGGTATTTTACCGCATGCATGTCGCGTTTGATTCTCGAATTGTTTTTCAGGAGTTTTCCCGGACGACTGATGTCTAGGGCGGCCGAGGTCGCTCGCGTCATCAGGGTAAGTCCTATATCGCCTATCCACTACAGTGATGCAGTGATAGATTGTTGAGTGCGGTATAGACGTCTCCGGCAGTTCTCATGAACTGCTAATTTTGCAAAGGCAGTACACGTGAACAAATGGTCTAGGGAACATTTCGCTTCGCGGTAGAACCCAACCCTATCGTCGTTGTGTGAAGTTGCCATGTCACCGCTCACTCCTGTGGTGCGCTCTCGGAGGAACGAACGTGGTACCGTGATGTGTACGTGTCCTGCCTTCAGTGGACCCCCCCCCCCAAAAAAACAAATAGACAAACCAACAACCAACCACAACCCGTGACACATACGACTATCAAGAACATCGCAGGCTTTATTTTTTCGCTAAGTAGTGCGTCGCTCCGTGGCATGACAGGAATATCCATCGCACGCATTCCGGCAGCGTTGTTGCCGCTCTTGTTGTTGTTGGGGTTTCTGTGTGTAGTTGTTGTCGGTCTCTTTACAGTTGCTCCGAAGGTTTTCTCTCACACTCACACGCCCCTTCTTCCTTTTCCACCCGCCATGATATGTGGTAACGTGCTCGCCTGCGCGACACCATCCAGGGGTTGGAAGGCACGGTGGCCACCCTCGAGACCGCGGCCGCTGCTGACGCCGAAAGCTGTCTCACGATGGAGGCCGACCTTCGTGCCGAGCTCGTCGCCGCCCACGGCACCAACGACGCTCTGCAGGCCACCGTGGGCGAGCAGCAGCGGGCCGCCGAGGTCGCGGCGGAACGCTCCGGGCTGGCTGTCCGTCGGCTCGAGGACCAGCTGCAGAGTTCTCGACGCGACGCTTCCCAGGCGCGAGCTTCCATGCTCGCCATTCGCCAAGAGCTAGCGTCGTGCGAGGACGATGTGGCTGAGGTGGACGAGGCGTCGGTCGCCCTCTCCCTCGTGGCGGCGGAGAGCACGAACCTCCTCGGAGGGGGTCTCCAGTCGGCCACCTCCAGGCCTGCGGAGGTCACCACGCGGGAAGCGGCCGGCCTGTCGGCAGCTCACGAGGCGCGCCAACGGATATGGTGAGCAAGCTCTTCAGCGTACTCGCGGCTCCGGTAGATGGTGGTTAGTTGGCGAGGGTCTACTAGTAGCGGTGGCTTGTTGTCCCTACTGCTTGCTGCTTTGTCGTTCGTTTGGTTGTGAAGGACGAGGAGGTCGGTATATTGCATGGTAATGATGGTTGGTCGACCCCGCTGTCGTTGATGTACACAGTACCGTAGTAGTGTTTGACGTCGATGGCTAAGGTTGTTGTCGGTGGTGTGCGGTGTTCGTGGTGGACGATGAACTTGAAAATTGGAACTCAGGGTGTTGCTGGTGTTTTTAAACTATTTGCCGACCGAGCAACCATGGAGAAGGCAATTCGGCAACCGCAGGTGAACAGCAACATGTCCACCCGTCAAGCTTTACTCCACGTTGTAGGATTTGATGGGTGTTTGCCCGACGTATGAAATGGCTCTGCCTTTGTTGCGATTGAGTTGCGGCGGCTCTCACTCAAATCCTTGACGTCCCGATACCTCCTGATTCGAACAACAGCCAAGCCGTTGCCAGTGAGGACGCCACGGTCAAGAATGCCGGCACCAGCATCTTGCGAACGCCGGTTGAGATGTGAGTGCCGTCGTTGGTATGCTAGACAGAACAGCGCGCTGTATGTTGATTCGTTGCCGAAAAGCTCCCCATGGCAATATTGACTTGAGGAGTTCGATGCTTGGGGAGTTCCATGAAGTATGTGCGAGCCTTTATTGCATGAGTAAATCGTGGGGAACCTCGCATCTTCTCTCCTCGCGCCACACTTGGACGTATCACGCCCGCCGCACCAGAACCCAGCGCCATCAGCACGTTGCCTGCTTGTTGCTCGAGGAGGACTGCGCGTCGTCTTCCCTTCCCTCGAACGTCCTCGGAGCAGACGAAGCGGCGTCATTCATCATCGCCGTGGTCTTGATGGTCTTGGTGAAGCGGTATGTACCAAAGCTTTCTCTCTGTTTGGTTTGGTCATACTATTCAGTAAGTTATCATGTGTCGTCTTTGAACGAGACATTTTGAAACCGAAGGATTTGAATTTGAAGTATACGTTGAAACCGAAGGACACCAGCGATAGATTTTCCTTCAACCAATGACTCCATTCCATATGCCGATCGGCGAGGGGGCATTTTCATTTTCCTTCTTGGAGCGTGAATCGCTTTTGATGTGCCAACAAAGTGTACGCGGTGATCATGGCGACGGTCCCTCAACAATATGATGCTTGATAATCGTTGCTCAAACAAGGTGGAGACGCGGTGGCCGGTTCATCGAAGACCAAGTTTGTAACGAGGGCCGCGCTCATGAGGACGCGGATGACGAAGGAGCTGCCACCGCCGCCGCGCAAGAGGCTGCAGCGGAGGTGGGGGGAGACAAACGCGATGACGTTTATCGACGAGTGCGAAATCTGGTAATCCATTGCTCCACCTATATCGATATCCGATGTTCATGATCAACGCTGGTGACCGCTTTCTACGTCCTCTCACCTTCTATTTGCATCCATGCGTGCGCGCTCCTGCTGTAACTCATGTCTACATAGAAAGAGCCAGTGGACGAATTGGAGAAAAGGACTTCGACACTACGGTCGTGGAATGCGCTGTTGGCGGAACGAGCTGGGGCCGCAGAGCGCACTGTCGCAAAAATACGCCGGTGTGTGGTATAGCAGTGCTCCGATTGTTCGTCATTCATATTATTTTTGCCACTCATAGAAAACAGCACTCCGTCGAGATTCATTGTTCCGGTGCAACAACCTCTCACTTTCCGCTTTCATCGTGCCTCACCACAACAACAGGGAGGCGACGAGGGCGGCAGGACAGAAGCAGGAGAAACTGGCTCAAGTGCAACAGAAGCTCGCCACCAGCACCGACGAGAATGCGGTGTTGACGGAACGAGCTGCGGCCGCAGAGCGCACTGTCGGAGAAATGCGCCGGTGTGTGGTATAGCAGTGCCCCGATTGTTCGCCGCTGATATTCTTTGTGCCACTCATAGGC